AAGTCATAGTGCAATGATTCAGCTGTTAAAATTCCACTAAGATCAACTGCAACACATATATAATAATTAATTTAAAAAGTTAGTTAATTAAGAAATAAATGGACTTGAATTGTATTAAATAATTGGGATTTAATTAATTACCATTCATCTCCATAAGAGTTTTATTATTTCTTTTCATCCTTCTTCTCCTTTGTAGCAAATGAAAGACTCCAATAGATCGTAGAAACAAGAGAATTACAATGGCAGCCACTACACAAATAATTAGTAGTTCTATTTTTGGGATTCCATCATGCCCTGCAGTGGCGAAGTCAGAAAATTCGTTAATGATATTTAAGATTTAGTATATACATATAAAAAATATTTTTTTAGTTACTTCATATAATTTTTCGATGAAGAATGTTCAACTATAACTACGCCATTCAGGAATTAAATTCATTCTATTAATGATTTCTATTTAATTTTTGATGTGATATTCCAACCATCGTATTATTTTCAGGGGTCAAATAATAAATACGGATTCATCTGAATTTTATTTGTTGATATAAAAGAGACATATGATTGGAATATAGACGATGAATATTATTATAGTAATTAATAGAATGTTACGCATACCTTTTTTAGGTAAGTACTTTTTTTTGGGTCAGTATCAATGGGACATAAATCCATAATAGCACAATGTCGACTTATACCAAATATAAAAATTATATTTAATTTAAGATAAGAACACACTTAAAATCTTTTTGAATACTTTTCATTTCGTCATTTGTCCAATTAAAAGAAAAGATAGCATGCTTACATATTTGTGGGGGCGGGGGCGGGGGCGGGGGGAATTAAAAGTAAAAACTTATCGTAAACAAATGGTGACACAAATCTACAACAAATTAAAGTCAGTATTGTATTGGTCAAAATATTACTCTTTCTGTCTCAGTTTATATGACTCACTTTCCTTTTTAATCAATTTCCAACAAAAATGAATACATTTTCATACTAAATAATAATTTAACTTTAACATGTCTATTTCACCTTTAATGAAATGATTTATAGCCAGATAAACATCTATCATTTATTTTAGACCATAAGTTTCAAAAGTCTGTTTTTCTTTCTTAAATTCCGTGTCAAGTCAAACTAACTTATACAAAATGGGACAGAGGGAATAGTAATATGTACCTTGATTATGTGACAAAGTAGGTAGGTTTGTTTTATTGTAGAAGAGGTACACTTCATGCCTCATAAAACAACTAGGAAATTGAACTCTAGCACCTCTATATACATCACAACATTTGTTTAAAACTTTGATGGCATTTTCAAGGCAATTTAGGCAATCTTTAGAAGACATATGAGGAATGCATTGAGCTAAGGCATAAATTGTTGTGTCAACACTGAACTTAGCTTCCCTAATTGCAATTTTCTTGTCTAACGATCGATCATCACTAGCAGCCCGAGTCGTTACATCATTCATAATTTTCCCTAAAATCTGTTTGAACCTTCTTTGTTCATTATTGGTAATTGTAATAGTGTTATATATGACAAAAGGTGTAGATGGATTGTTAATTATGGATCCATAGTTTGGATCGGGGAATATTGATTGATTCGAGTAACGTAACATGCAATCATCCTGCCATAATACAACCGTTTTGCTACCGGGGCATAACGAGATTATGCCTTTAACAGCTCTTGTTACAAAATCTTGGCAATGTACACTTAACATATCACCTCGACACATGAAAAGACCGTAAATTGTTTCGAAATTATCAGTGTCATCGATGGAGAAATTGTAAAAAAGATGTTCTCTAGAGGCAGAAGAAAGATTTGAAAGTAGCAAATTGAGGTTGGAATTGTAAGAGGTGTTTGTTATATTGTTATAAGTAGTTGTGTTTGGGCAGCAATAATGCTCATCAAGAGCTAATATTGTGGAAATACTTTGGCTAATCAAGAAAAGCACAAGGTATATTGGGATATTCAAACTAGACATTATGCAAAATTGAACAATACACTAGTGTACTTCATCAAGTTGAGAGATAAGGCAAATTTATAGATGATGAGTGAAGGACCTTCCTTTGTTTTCACTCTGAATGAATGTCTTAATCGTAATCATTCAGATCTCAATAATTAAGTCTATTTGTTTTAATCTTAATCATTAAGTGTGTTTGTTTTTAAAAAATTATAATTATTTAATGGATCAGAATGATTAAGATCTATAATCAAGGCCTAATATCATTAAAATGTCTATTTTGAGAATTTATATAAAGATGACAATTCATCACTATTCCATATTATGCTTCCCCCCATCACCATTTCAACCATAACTACCCGGACACCACCTACCATCCACAACCACCACTATCAACAATCACCAAAATCAATCGCCATCACCATTAAACATTATTTGCAATCATCGTCACCAACCATTATTACATTCACTATTTACTATCGATAATTATCACCATTAGTCAATATTATATATCGTTAACTGGTATCATCATTCTCCATCACTATTAGATATCAGTATCATTCCACTACTAATTATCAATCGTCACCACCAACAACCACAATTAGTCACTACTTCCAACCACTATACAATAAAATACTACCAAGAACCACCACCATCAGTCAATGCCATCACAAACGACACACTCAACATCATATCGTTAGTCATCACCACCACCAATTAATTGACACTATGGTGTAAAAGAAGAAATTATACTATTAATATGTATAAATTAAATTCTTGATTGATCAATTAGGTCAAGTTTCAACATCAATGATTAGTTGAGCACCCTGTGAGAATCTTCCTCCTTGGTCTTGATTAGTCATAGATTGATATGATGAATGATTTGAACAGGGGGATGTTTGTCGGTACATAATATTCAAAATTTTCTTTTTTTTCTCCCAATTTCACTCGGCATGGTATACTTTAAATTTGTGTCACATACGATTCATTAAGAGAAAAGTGTTTCTTCACATGACTTTTTTCATATTCAATAATACTCAAATTTGAAATATTTAATTTAAAAATTGATTCAGAATTTTACCTTTATATCTTAAACAATTTTTATTAGATAAGAATTCTCTTCCTTTTAAATTGAAAATCTATATACATATTTTTTTTGGATTTAACTTATCCACACAGACTTAATCGAGCAGTTTACACTTTTTTATATTATTTATGCATAGTTATATGTACATTATCTATCTTTTAAATGATTTAATAATATAAAAATTCTTTTCTAACTGAATTAGAAAATTTAAAAGGCGTACCTGGAAGATCACCAAGTAAAAGAATGCAAGTCACAAAGCAAAACAATAAAAGAGTAACCTGCACCACAACATGACTATGGAATATGTCTCAATCGTTTCATCTGCTATCAGATGTGGAATCAGAATTTTAATTTTATAGATTTAAAATTTTATAATAGTAACTTTAAATGATAATAATATTTTGATTTTAAATTTAATATTAAATATATTTAATAAATTTAATTTCTTAATATGAATATATTGTATGAATCAAAGCTATTGAGTTTCATGAAATTCGTATTCACACGTTTAATTCACCCTCTTTCCATTATTGACTATATACAATTCAAACATCAATTATATGATGTTTGATCTATTTAATATTCGATCAATTTTGTCACAACTATATTCAACATACATGTGTGGATTTGAAATAACTATGTATAAATCACTACTATTAGTGTGTGGTCCGTTCTAGTGATAGTTCCTCCCATTATTGACTATACAATTCAAATTTCAACTACATACATGAATACAAGTCTTTTTCACCTTTAATTTGCTTATCAGAAGAAAAATGTAATTATGAGATTAGAAAAAAATGGAAATAAGGTATGAAATAGACACAAGAAAATGGAATCTAAATAAAGTGATTTGAAACATCAAAACTTAATTTCAAATAGTGATTCTAAATATAATAATTTCTTTTCAAAATAGTCACTTTAATTTTTTTTTAAAAAACCTTCTTTCAAAACATTATTTTAAGAGCAGGGTGAAAAATAAAGATTGAACAATCATAATGAATCAATACATGTGCTAATTATAATAAATAATAGGTACTCCATGAAATTACTCAAGCAACATGCAAGGTTGGTGATGTGTCGTGACGACTAAATATCGTCCCTCATTTAGTACATGTACTAATAATAGATAATAAGTACTTCATGAAATTACTCAAGCAACTTGCAAGGTTGGTAATGTGTCATGACTAAATATTCTTCCTCATTTATAATAATAATAATAATAAAAAAAAATATCATACTACAATTTGTTAAAGAGCTATAACCAATAAAATATTTATATCATTTTGATCACCTCTTACATTAAATAAAATGTTTGTTAATTATTCTTATCAAGATTGTATGGTGAAATTAATTAAGCCACGTCCATCAAAGTTAATTGCCAATTTTTTCACCATTCCTTTTAAAGAGAAATAATCGCATAACCAAACATCATTAATAGTATTACTTTCTATATTAGCCTAGAAACAATATCATTTGAAACTATAAAAGAAAAAAAATACCAAAAAAATAATAATAATAGAAATAAATCCAATAGTCTTTTTTTCTCTGTTATTATACCTCCTCCTCCTCCTTCCTTCTTTATTTTTCCGATCGGTGACGAAAAATATTATTGGATTTTCTTCCAATGTATCGTTAAAACTTGATCATGGAATAGTGTTAATATTCCAAATAAATGTCATCGATCTGGAAATTATAGAAGGAAGGAGAGTAATAATATTATTAATAAATGGAAATTCAGAGGTTAAAAGATTTATTGTTATTGTGGGCAAAAGTGCAAACAAATAGACTAGCCCTCGTGGGTGGCAACCACACCGCAGCCAGGTTTTGCACTCGTTAAAAAAAAATATTCGATAATTTTCTATTATTCTAGCTCACCAACCCTCTTTTTTTAATTAGTAATAATTCGACTTTCTTTTGTGTTTCAAGAGATTTTTCCAACAACCTAGTGTCTTTCTGAGTTGGTGTCTGATTAGCTTGCATGCACCTTTTTGTGATTCGTGTTACTTGTCATAACAAACATGAGGTACAAAATGATGAATAACATGTTGCAAGGTTTTTACAACAAGCAACATAGCAAAATGAGAGGTTTATACATAGATGGATTAATGGATTATAATTGGGATACAAAGTTGGTGATTATAAGAGTAGACCATTCTTGGGTTTTGAAGTTTATGGCTCGTGCAACAATATTAGCATTGGTAATTGTTTCTTTACCTTGGATTAATACGATAATTGGGTACTTATCATCGCGATACGAGTCTAATTATGCTTATCAAGTTGATCATGAGATGGTTTATAATCCAATTAAGTTGGAGTTTTTGCCTATGATTTTTCAAGATTTGGCTAATGAAAGACTTATAAGAATGGGTGATAGGTCCCTTCTTGTTAGCAATGGCAATGAGGAAGAAATTTATAATTCTCAAGTTGTTAAAGATTATAATCCTAATTTGATTTCATTTTCAGATTCTACGCAACAAAATCTTGTCCCTAATGAAACTTTTGATTTTGTTTTGGCCTATGGTTATCCTCAATTATCAAATTTTATTGAAAGAGCTTTGAAAGTTGGTGGTATTCTAGTTGTACCACTAAGTGACAATCCTTTGGTTGATGAATTTCCACATCCATCAAATTACAAGATTGTCTATGTTAGAAAATTTGATTCAACTATTGTAGCCATGAAGAAAATAAAGAATGCCTCTATCAACTCTTCTACGCGGCGACTTCTTGAAACTAATACAGAAAAGGTGTCTGGTTCGAGCTTTGGGAACAGAAAGGTTTTTAATAAGGAACATTTGACTTCCCTTAGTCAGTCTGCTCAGCGTGAATCTGAATTAGTCAGGTCAGATGATTTTACAAGTGCGAAAAAGGCAGCACTAAAGAAACTAGAAGATGTACTACTTGAACCACCAAGAGCAGCATCAGGAAAATCGAGTAGATATTTAAAAAAGACACATTTTTTACCTGATTTAATGGGGGTTTCCCTAGAGAGTTACCCAAGAAGGGTGTTCATTGATGTTGGTTTACAAGAAAAGAATGAAAAATCAAGTGATAATTATCATTCTGCTTGGTTTACAAAGCATTATCCAACAAGAAACACAAAATTTGAGATGTTCAAGATTGAGACTATAAATGAAGAATCAAGTGGAAAAGAGATACCATTGAGTACTATTAACATGTCTGATTGGTTACAAAAAAATGTAAAAGAAAATGAGTATGTGGTAATGAAGGCAGAGGCTGATGTGGTTGAAGAAATGGTGAACAATAAAAGTGTTAAGTTGATTGATGAACTTTTCTTGGAATGTAAACATCAAGGAATTAAAAAAAGTGATAAGAAAAATAGGAGGGCATATTGGGAATGTTTATCATTGTATGGATTGTTGAGAGATGAAGGTGTTGTTGTGCACCAATGGTGGGGTTGATGACTACGACAACAATAATATATTTAGTGTAATGATCTTGAGAAAATAGAATGTATGCAGGTTGTTTCAGATAGACTCTTGACTCAAAAGAAACGGTGGTGTTAACAAAAATTGCAAAGAAAAACAAAAAAAAAAAAAAAAAATTAAAAGATAGGTGGGGTGAGCATAATAGAATATTGAGGTTTTTTATTTTAATTATTTATTGGTTTTATGTGTATACACTTGCTAGTGTTTATTGATGTATTTTGAGCAAAATAATATGATAATATGGGGTATATAAAAAGAGATTTTATTAAAGATACTTTCTTGTGATTCTTTTCCTTTTCTTTTACTTTCTTGAATTACTCTCTCTTATATATATGTTTGCCTCTGTCCTTTCCTTTTTAATTTTATTTATATATATGTATATTAATTTTTCCATCATGTATCAATAATGTTTCAAAACATATATAGTTTACCTAACAAATTAAACATTCAAAACATATACAGTTACCAAATAAACACTCTTTGTATAAAGATAGAAGTTCCAAAATAGCTGTCATATTTTACTTTTCGAAAGTTAATTTAACTATTTTTCAAAGAAAAATTTGGTAAGATTATTTTAATATTTAAAAATTTAAATTTAGATATCAAAAAACTTTACGAAAACACTATATGTTGCAATTTTTCAAATATAAATACGGTGATTACAGTGACGGATCCAGGATTTTTGTTGAGGGGGTTCAAAATATAAAGAAGTAAACATGTGAAAATTACAAGATAAAAAACTGAACGAGATAGGAGGAAACTAGTAATCTGAATCCAATAAGTTTAATTTGCAGGTTAGTCATTCGTGAAAAAGACAAATGATGAATTGAACAAATAAGTTTAGTTTAGTTTTCATCTTTTTAAAATCGAACTGAAAAAAAAAAAACAAAGAAATACTATAAAATTAAGAGGGGAAAATCAATTAATTAGATTTTATTAAAAGATTATAAACGACTTAAATTTTTTCATTCAATTAACTTTAATTTCATTTATTTTATATAATATTTTTTGTAAAATCAATTTCAAATTTAATAATAATTCATCGTTAGTACATGGAAAGAGACTTATGTAGAAATAAAATGAAAAATATAAATAAGAAGAATAAAAGACAAAAGTATCTAAAATATGTCTAATAAATTTAAACAAAGATAAATTGAGAAAAAGAAATAGCATAGAGAGAAAAATAATGATAACAACAATAATAAAGTTTTACATTGAACTAAAAACCGTGAGGCATTTCATTGAGTTGGAATTTGAGCCCGAAACCAGAGCTCATTCAGCCTTCCAAAAACAATGAAATAGAGTTGGATTTGAGCCCAAAGAAAGAGCCCATTCAACCTTTCAAAGAAGAAAAAAGCAAATGGAAAAATGTTGCAAGTGGGAATCGAACCCAGACCCTCTCGATTAGAGTTGAACCCCTTAACCACTGAGCCATGCTTCTCTTTATATTTGAGGAGGTTCATTTTAATATATGTACTCATAAAATCAGAAATAGACCTTATATATACAGTGTAATTTTTCAACGAGGGGGTTCGGGCGAACCTCCTGACCTCCACGTGAGTTCGCCCGTGACGGTGAAAGAATACATCTTAAAATATTGATCAAAGTTTATGTAGTTTAACTCTTGAGGGAAACAAAATATGGCAAATATTTAGGACATATAGACCATTGGAGAATTTAGGGTATTGGGTGTGGGTTTTTAGGAATCCAGTAATTTTTTTTTTGGACTCTGTATTTATATTGTGAAGTCCTTTAAATATATAAAAACTATTAGTTGCGTTATCAATGCATTCACGTAAAGGAAAAAAAGACTAAACATACCAAAAGCATATATAAGGATAATATGGTCCCTGGACTAAATTGTGACATTTTCACATATCCAATTATAGTATGCCCCTTGGACCATCACATTATAAACTGAAGAAATAAAGCTCCACTAGGACCACTACCATCTTTCACGGCTCGTTAATACGAGGTTAATGAATAACTAATTTCGTAGTTAATTTTAAGATGAGTTTATTACATGTTTGATTGGAAAAAAATAGGATAGTTTATTATGAGATTGTAGTGTTATTTTGGTCTCACATTAAGAATTGGATAGCAATCTTGAAATAATTTATTTGAGGATAACTTAATCCCCAACCAAACAAGCACTTAAGAACTACTCCCTCCGTTCCATTTTATGTGGTATTATTTGACTTGACACACTATTTAAGAAATGAAAAGGAAGACTTTAGAAACTTGTGGTCTAAAACAATCTATAGATTTTTTTATGATAAGAGAAACCCACAACTGCTATTCTTTGGCTATGCACTGGGTAAAAGTTCCGCTCTTACGCTTTAGTCCAAAGTTTTTAGTCCAATTACATTAATGAAATTTGCTTTAGTTTTGTTGTCCTCCTTGGTGAAGGTCCGATAACCCTTGAACACTTATAATAATTTTTATTTTTTTTTAATTTAAAATTTTTGAAAGCTCATAATTTTAAATTTTAAATCATCAACATGTTCATAACTTTTGAACAGATTTACCCAACAATTGAATTTGAGGAAATATGATTAAGCAAAATTAAACAGACTGATAATTTTCTAAATGCACCAAATTACTGAACATAACATTAATTCATTCCAAATAGTAACACAAGGAAATTAAAGTACTTGATGAACTTTTTTCACCAAGTCCACTACATTGAATTACAAGGAAAGCAAAGACTTAATAATAATAACAATGTCGTCCATCATTTTTGGAGTATCAGACACAAGTGTGACTACATTTTTGAGGGTACGATTCAAATTTAATTGCAAACTTCGCGAGCAATTCCAACGCGAGAATTAGCCGTGTCAAACATAATCCTAAGATTTTGTTGTTGCAAATTGGCTATCACATTCAACACTGAATTCACATTATTTGGTGCTGAAGCAATAGCCAAACATGCTAAGGGAGTGGCACTACTATGTATCAATGTGTTCTCCATTGGAAATTTCAAGTCCATTCCCTCAAAGTGCAATGTTATAGTTGGTATCACTGCCTCATTTTGTGATACAAAACATGTATCAAATGCACCTAATGAGCTAAATGTCCCATTCACTTGTTTCCTAAATTCATCCCTAATCACCTCGTAAGCGGGTTGGACGAATCGGGTTATGACCGTACCCGAGTCAATTACCGTGCCCGCACCGGTGTTTGGGTCAAACACAAGGTGTTCGGGTGCAATCGGGACCAGAACTCGCCCTACGCTTACACTTGTCAGGTTCACGTAGTACAAAGATGGTCGTCTCGGGTTCTTTAGTAGTGGGGTGGTTTTAATGTTTTTGGGTTGGCCCACGGGTCCGAGCTTGAGTGATCCAGAGAAATAATATGATTTAAAACTAGGCAAACAGTATGAGAATACGCCAGAATAAAGAGATCCAGATTGTGACATCAATGACATTGACCCACGGCCCAAGCCCAATAACCCTTGTGGTGGAATTGAGGTCCCGGACACGAAACTTATGCACCCGAAAGCATAATTCGGGACAACGTCATTGGCTAGTCCAAGGGTGTCACGTGACAGCGTGGCGTAGAAAGATGAATCTCCGCCATACGATTGGTTGAAGAAGCAAGCAGTACTTGACCCGACTACTGACCCAGTAGTCGGGCATGAGAGACTCCCTCGGACTTGAGTACATTCGGGTACGGAGCAGTCCACCGACCCGAAAGTAGTAGAAGTAGATGGGGCAAACAATGTATTAGAAGAGCAACCAACACAACCACTACAGGGAACAAATGCAGCATCATTACTTGTATCCAAAACCATGTACATTTGTTGACCCGGAGTACCCATCTTGACCCGAACCACATAGTTACCTACAACAATGTATAGAATAGATGATGTGAATTATATGTACAATGAAAAAGTCACATTTTATACTCCGACATCTCTGGGTCTTAATTTATGTGTCTTAACTTGATTCAATACAAAATTTGAGTAATAGAGACTTTTCAATTTTGTCACTACTAAAAGAAAGAACTTACTAACGAAATTGTTTTTGTTACTAAACAACAAAATTTGTCGTTTATCCTATTTAGCAACTGATTATCAAAAATTATGTTAGCTATGAGCAACTTAGACAGATTAGAGACGAAGTTCGTAGCTGACTTCAATTTTTTGTAGTGTATTTTGAAACTAAAGATGTGTATAATGTATGAAAATATTCTTTGAATCTTGTAATATAAAACATACAATGTTGAATGTTGGAATTACAAGTTATTATAGTAGTGAATAATACAAAAATGATTAGCTTTTGGGAAGCAAAAAATATTATCCCCCGAAACACTTTTAAATTCCTGGTCAAGCACATGTTATTTCTATAATATTACAAAAGTATTCTCAAATTGATTAGTTAAACATAAACGGCTACTTCCCAAACGTTTTTTTTTTTTTTTGAAAAACACTTCGTTAAAATAAATAGATTCTGAAAGTTTGACCAAACAAATTATAAACTATCCTTGAGATAAGGAAATAACAATTAACATGACTATTTTACAATACTATCCCTATTAACTGGTGTTTAGTATTAAGTATTAGAAAATAATTTGACAAATAAGTAATTACCGCTAAGAATAAAACATGAAAAAGAATTATTTTTTTCTTGATATGTTAAAAGTGACCAGTAAAAATGAACAGAGCGATTACATCATTATACCTATATTGAAGAGTTGTTGGCCTGAAGCAATGGGAACATTAGTGGGCTTTTTGGACACAACTAAACTTGATAAATAAGAGAGCCTTTGTGGATCTTTAGAGGCCATGTTGATAACAGTATTAATCCATGATGAAGAAGGTTTTGGTGAGTTAAAAGGTGAACATTTTCCATAAATATGAATAACAGAAAGGTCTGAATTTCCTTTTTTCGAATTAAAAGAACAAGAATCATCATAAGCTAAAGTTCTTGTAGAAATAATTAGAAAAATGAAGAAGAAGAAATAAGTAGCCATTATAAATTTTTGAAGGCA